CTGGGTGGGTTCGAAGGAACCCAGGCCTGCTGGGTTCTGAGGGGAAGGAGGAAGAGAAAGGGGAAGGAGAAAGAGAAAGGGAAAGGGAAAGGAGAAAGAAAAAAAAAAAATTTAAGTTTTATTTTTCATAATATTTTTTTATATTATTTTTTTCCACATCATCACTTTTTATATTACTATATGACATGTCATCTGGTAACCGTTAAGTAACAGGCCACGTCATACAATTTTTAACGGAATGACCAAATCGAGGTAAAAATGGTAAACAATAAGGACCAAATCAGGAATTTTTTTAGTTCAAGAACCAAATCGGGAGTCCATACAATAGTTCAAGGACCAAAAAGGGGTTTTAACCTTTAAAAAACTATTTATTTTTATTTTTTAAAAGGTAAATCTATCTTCACTCTTAACAATTTTGGGGGGTTTTACAATTTATTAAAATATAATCCCTAGTTTCATCCTTCCCCTTATGCAGGTTTCCAACTCATAGGTGATTTAATTCTTGCTAACAATAATAGAGATGGAATTGACAAGGAGAATGATTTGATGAATTTTTAATTCTTCATATTAGTTTATTTTGTAAAGAATTAAATAATTATTGATTCTCCATGATCGTGCAACTTTTTTGTTAGTGCTTTCTACTCATCATTTCAAGGTTGTCGCAAAAGAGTTATTTTGTTGCCGTTGTTACCCTCGAAAAAGATGATTGATCAAAAAGACGCGTCTTCACAAAAGGGGTTAAATCATTGAATTATAGAAATTATAGAAAGGTTGTCGTTCTTGTCGCTAGTGAGGATTGGTCATGGTTTTCAATGATTGGCACAACTAATGGAATCATATGGTGGACTTTAATTAAAAAAAAATCATTTAATTGAGAAATCAAAACTAATGTATATTATTATTATTATTTTTTTAATAAGTCGACAATGGTGGATTTGAACCCACTATGGAAAGGAAAAAGTGCATCTCCAAAGTAACCCAAATGTCATTTGACCGGAAGGGTCAAGTGTTATTATTATTATTATTTTAATTATAATATATTATTAAATTAATATATGTATAGAAGATTATAAGTTGAATTTAAACAAAAATGGTAACCTCATACACTTGGGTGAAGGGGTTTCGTACTCTTGTAATCATATCATTTTTAAAATTTAAAATGCACCAATATTGCCATCCTCCAAAGATATATTCTAATCCTCCCTCCCAATGTTTATATATAAGGAAATCATACAGAAGGAAATCATGAAAGTAAAGCACGTGAAACACCAGTGTTGCAAATTTCTTAGATTATAGAAGGCAACGGTACACATGACAACATATCATAGGAAAAGTAGTAATTGGTACACATATAATTTATGATGGAGGGCCAGGGGTGGAGAAAGGGGTGGTGGGGAGCACACAGCTTCGAAAAGCTTATTATTCAGTTCACTTCTGATAGATAAGAAACTCCTTTGCTAAGAAGCATATATTCAAGCTGCATTTCCTGCATGAATTCCCTTCTTCTCAAGCTCCTCCAAAGCTGCCCATAGTTTTGGATCATTGTAGTCTTTTATAAGAATGGTAGGATTTGCTCCCATGAGCAAACCCTCTGGGTTTCTGGTGGTTATACCCACAACTCGCATCCCAGCTGCAACTCCAGCTTTTATCCCAGACACAGAATCCTAATTGAGCAAAAACAGATAATAAGGAAAAAAGAAATGAAATTTCATGAAAGAGTGCTCAGTCTTTTCCAGGTTGATTAGGCATATATATATATATATAGCAGTTTAAAAGAGACATACCTCAAATATAAATGTGTGGTCCTTAGACACCTTGAGTACTTCAAGTGCCTTCAAGTAGGGGTCTGGATGAGGCTTGGCATGCTCACATTCGCACCCTACAATAAGAGTTTCAAAAAAATCTGTGAGGCCAAGTTTGTTGATGAAGAGTTCAGCATTTATTCTTGGAGAATTGGTAACAGCTGCACGCTTCAGTCCATGATCTTCAACCCATTTCGTCACTTTGTAAAGGCCATTTATAGCCTCCAACTTCTCTGCAACCATTCTGTTTGTCCATACATAATAGGAACTTGAGAAGCTTGCAAAATGGTATTTTGTCCATACATAATAGGATCTTGAGAAGCTTGCAAAATGGTATTCTTTCTTTAAACCAAAAAATTGTGTATTCACTTTACCTCCTAACCAGTGCTTCCTTATCATCGGTGAGCTTCCAGCCCCTTGCAATGTCTTTGGGGAAGAGATTCTTCACAATCTCATCATTGTGTTTTCCAGCAAGATTTTGAATAAAGAATTCCTCCGTAATTGGGACCCCATTATTGAAACCATACTGTTAAACAACCCCGAGAGTATTAGTAAATCACCGAAACAATAATTCACACAGTACTTTAAAAAGGAAGCGATGTTGTTTGAAATTACCTCTTGAAGCACAACTTGGAATGCATAGTAGTGAAGCGGGTCCGAATCACACAAAGTTCCATCAACATCAAAAAGGACTGCTTCCAGAGGAGCTAGATCAGAAAGGGATTTCTTGCTGCAATATGAAACATCCAAAATTTCATGCCTATAAAAGTTATGAATCTTTAAACTTGGAGGTGCTTTCTCCAACAGTTCAATGATCACGAGAGCATTAAGACTATGGTTTTCAATGATAGATTCAAGCTCGACTCATTTGCTGTATGTAATAGCTTGTGAACTACTCAGCCCTGTTTCCTAGACAAGCCAAGCTCGATATATAATCAAGCTTGGCCATTCCAAGGTCGATTAAGATCAAGCTGGAGTAACTCAGCTCATATTGATTCGTTTGTTTCATCCATTAAGCTTTACTTGATTTACATCTAACAAATTATTTTCCAGTACTTTCTCCTCTCAAAAATCTATCTTTAAGAAAAATAACATGCATATAAACATATAGTTAATATCATCCACTAGAAATGATTTATACATGTTGCAATTTAAGTGATATGAATACATAGCACAATCTAGGACCAGAAAAAAAAATGAAAATAAGAAAAAAAAGAAGAAAATTGAAGAAATTGCATACCCATCTGCAGAACTCCCATCAGAAACCGTCATATTGATAGTTATGGAGATGAGAGTTAGTTAAGGAGATGAGTGCTGTGGTTGGTGAATGAAGATGGCAGTGAGAGGCGAATATATGTAGGGAAATATCAAGGGAGGGAACTGGAACCTGGCAACTGAATGTGAGGACAGGTGTCTGTGGCCTCAAAATTAATTTGTTAGATTTTTCTAATCTGTACCCTTAGAGCACATGTTAAGAGTGTTTTTTTTTATAATAAATGTGTATAGAAAAATATAAAAATTGATATTAATTTTAATATTAAATAAATTTAATTAAAAAATTGATAAATTAAAAACTAACTTTTATTTTTCAATATAAATTTAAAATGAACAGATGTATTTAATATACCCTTAATCTATATACTAAGGACATAGGTTAAACAAACCTCGATTTGTTTTGCCTTGGATAGCCCAGGAACCTGTAGGTCATGTACATGTGCGGCTGTGCCTGCCTACTCAAAAAAAGAGAGAAATATAGGCCATGTGCTTTCATGTGTATATTTTGCTTCGCTTCACGATGGAGGCTCCACAGCCCCTTAATATATTGCTCAATAATGCAAAGGTTACCGGGAAATTCTAAAGCAGAATCAAGGCTGAGATATCCTGCTTCTTATTATGTCATGTCACGTCATGTATGTCTAAAACAATAATAAACTAGATATCTCCCAACATTGTGCAATAATTCAAGTTAAGATCTACCCCAACAAGAAATAGACTCTCTTTACCGTTAAAAAAAATGACAAACCGTTTGTACCCTGAAAATTCCCACTCAGAAACAGTTATGGATAGAGAAATGAGAGATGTGGTTTTTGGTTGGAGAGAGTGCAGATGGTACTGATGAGTTTAGGCAGATAAATGAGAGAGAGAAATTGAATCTGCCTGTCCAATGAATAACAAGATGGCCATGTTATGTGTCTGCAATCTCTGTACTGTCAAGTTTTGTTTTCTTGCTTTGGTTGCCCCAATATTATCGGTATAGGCCATACACGCATGTGCTTGCAAAATTATTGGCTTAATAAATGAATATAATAATTCAATGATCATATTTTTTTCATAGAAATAAGAGTTTTTGGTTCCTGTAATTCGGCATATGGGTAAAAGTAAGGAATAAAGTTAGTTTAGTGGCACAAATCCATGATTAAAAAACTTCAAAGAAAATAGACATATTGCCTTTTCAAAAGAGAAAAAATAAAATAAAAGAAAGTGAACATATATTTCATTTCTTGGACCTTTTATACGTAGCCACAAAATATATAGGTAAAATTGTGTGGTAGTTTGATTTTCTTATTTGCATTGAATCTGGTTCTTCCTAGCATTTATTTAAAGAGAAAAATTAGGGTTAGTACTTCTTAATTTTCCTTCCTTTTTCATGTTCAATTAGGATTAGTAGGGTCCCTACTTAGTAATTAGGGTTAGTTTAATTAAGTACTATTATCTACATCATCTCCAATACTCCCAACACCCCCCCCCCCTTTTTGGCTACAATCTCCAATACTCTCTTAACAATTTCTGTAAAAACGAATTTAGTATTAAGTCAAATTTTTAACAGCCACATTTTCCCCTTTCCAAGCTTTCAGGAATTTAAGGCCACTGGAAATGGTGATAAGTGATAACACGATTATAATTTTCCAAAAGTGAAAGTCCCTTTCTTCCTTGTCTATTTTTACTATTTATTTTAATTTAACAAAAAATGTGCTGTATAAGATGAACTGCACAACTTGAAAATCATTGATGAGAAGCAGGCTTATCTTCTCACATCAATGGTCATGGTTTTACAATCTAATACAGGTCGGACAGCAAAATCACTTTCACTTAATTATCTACTTTGGACAAGAAGACTGCGACAGTTATAGAAAGCAAAATGGGCTTCAACAAAAGAAAAAAAATAGAATTGGGCTTGTTATAAATTACGGGCCCCCTAAGGACAAAAATGGGCTGAACCTCTTTTCAACCTTCAACATTCAAACCCAAACATTTATAGGCTCATAGCCTACAAAGATTGAGAAAAGACTAAAGAGAAATGCCAGCAAAATCAAATAAAGGGTCCAATGGGATTAGGGGTGCTTGTGCAGTCCTTGAACTAATAGGGTTTTAACTTTTAAGCTCCTAAACTAAAAAGAAATAATTAAGCCAAGAAAAATTTATAAGGGATGGACTTTGAGGGTGCAGTGACTGCAATTTTTTCTCATTAATTGTTAAGAAAAAAATAAAAGTTAATTTTAATTTTATCAATTGTTTAATTAAAATCATACATGTGTTATTAGTATTAAAAATGAGACTAGGTTTTATGTTTTCTTATGCAAATTAATGAAAAAAGAAATACAATTAATACATTTTTAATGTGTCCTAAGAATATAAGTTAGACAAACTGAATCTATGAAACCAAACAAATGTTTTAATTTAGTGAATCAATAATAATTATAAATTTTTTTTTTTTAATTTGGTAGATACATGAATCAAAATGCATCCACTTGTTTGATACTAAAAAACAACGGACAACTCTATTTGAAAATAAAATTGTAAGTGTACCCCTTTTATTAATTAATATTTATAGATTTTTTTTATAGTTTACGAATGTAAATTTTAGGATTGTGACTTGTGAGGTTAGGTGTGAGGGTTTACATTTTTCAAGTTGACTGTTTGTGGTGTTAGGTTCAAGGTTGAGTGTTTATAGTGTTAGGCAATTATAGTTTTGGATTGTTTTAGAGTTCAGTGTTTAGAGTGCTAGAATTTATATTTTCAGTGCTTGTTTAAATTGGTGATAATGATTATTTAACCGTCAAACTATAAAAATAAGTTAAATTTAAGAAAAAAAATTTTAAAGCCAGACTTAGTTAGAAAGTTAGTAATAACTAAGTTTTAATGTTGATAATATTTTACTAAACTAAGAGAGACTTGAAAATAAAATGAAAACTATTAAGGACGTAAAAAACAGAACGCAGTAGGGACATCCTAGGGCATCACCCACCCCATTAAGAAAAAAAAAATTGCAACAAATTAAAGTGGAAATGTGGGGTTCCTTTGCCTTTCCTTGAAGCTACCCAGCAATGAGTGGATGCATTTTTCTCTAAAGAATTAATTGGAAACTGGAAACTAATGTTAAATGAAAGAACTTTTTTCTTGTACTTACCTTAATGCATCAATAGCTTTCGACCTTGCTTGTAAAATTTCATCTCCATTCTCCAATGGTTAACGTCAGGAACAATTTCCTCCGAGAGATTATTAACTTGATCCCATATGACTGCAAGATTTGATGCATCCCCCATCTCCTCCACTGAAGGAATTGATAGCCAAGTGGAGTGGGGTCATAAGACCCTAAATGGTTTCCATGTCATAGCTGATGTTGTTCATTGGACTTGTCTTCGTGCCAGTCCACATCGGTGTGCTTTGTCTACCTCGTTTTTGCAGCCTGTGGCACAAATATTCCAGTCATTCTTGGTCCCTGCTCTAGCTCGGATTCTTACATCAAACAGAAAAAGAACCAAGTTAATAAATGGAAAATCACAAAAAGGAAAAAAAGAAAAGAAAAGAGACGAGTAAATATATAGGAATAATGCCTTCAAGACAGCATTTTTATCATTAAACTTCTGTTATATATTTTGACACATAAAAAACGTAATCTGTCATCTTGCAAATAGAATAATAAACAAAGATGGTTGTCTTCCTCCTACACCTTCCAAACCATGGGACCATGTGACCATGTGAGATTATCTAATGAAAAGAGAAGGATGCCTAACCCAGGCTTCTTTAGTGCAAATGAACCTAACTCCCCTGTGGATTTTTTCATTCAAAAAACTCAATATAGATTCAAAGACCTGCTTCAGCTAACCTCTAGTCATTGTCAGATAGCTTAGCATTATCCCATCTCAGAAAAAGTTTGGGCATCAAATATTCTCCAACCAATGCTGATGTATGACATTCGTTCTAATGTGAACAGAGATAGAAGCTCCGGCATTTGAAGGTTGAAAACAGATTAATTAATTCAGAAATGCATGTTTACAGGAGATAGAATGAAAGTCAGAATTGGTTAACTATTGTGATTTATAACTAAAATAAAGTCTAACTGTATGACCTGTATCTGTTTACAAGAGATCTCAATAGTGGAAGGAAAAGTGCAATGAAATCTGACAGGTCAGAAATTCCAAGTCTAGGAATGTAGCTGGGAAACACCAGACCAGGAAAATTCCACTTATTCAAAAGATAGTTTAAAAGAATGTCAAATTTGACAAGGTTTACCAAACTAATGAAATTTTGATGCTTGCTGCAGTATAAATACAACAAACCTGTTGTTCACCCCTCATTACCACCTTGTCTTCTTTCCATTACTCGTGTCCTGCTTTCTTCATCTTCTATGGCTCTCTCTCTTCAATCTCTAGTAATCATTTTTGCAGCTTTGCTTCTGGCACCAGCAGAGGCTGCAACATGCAGTGACTGTTTTATCCAATCTCGAGCAGCTTATTACCCAAACTCTGATATACAAGGATCAGATGGTAAGAGAATATTATAAAAGAACATGATAGAAACTGTTTTGTTGTGCATGCTACTGACATTTATGCTTACTGATATTACAACTAAATTACAGTTGGTGCTTGTGGGTTTGGTTCATTTGGTGCAACCATAAATGATGCGGATGTTTCAGCAGCTAGTGGGCTTTATCGTAGCGGCATTGGCTGTGGGGCTTGCTACCAGGTACTAAAGAAAAATATGCACTAACCATGTACACATAATATATATTTCAAATATAGAAGTCCTCCCACATATGCTCAGTGGTACCATAATGTACCTGAATCATACAAATGGCACCGAAAACTTCATCTTGAGATATTATTTCTTTGCTAGGTAAGGTGCACCAACAGTAACTACTGCTCAGACAAAGGAGTGACAGTAGTTATAACGGACCAAGGTTCAAGTGACAACACTGATTTTATCATGAGCAGAAAAGCATTTGGTCAAATGGCTCAGACCCCAGATGCAGCTGCATATCTATTAAGCCAGGGTGTTGTTGGCATAGAATACAGACGGTAAGCTTACCCATCTAAAAGAAGCACATACAAGACATCAATCAATGGAATTATTTAAGTTTCTGGATTCTTAGTTATAAGACTAAGGAGGTAAATCACCTACCTTCATAGACTAACTCATTAACCCTATGTATGTGAAAACAGCGTTTCATGCAGCTACCCCAACACAAATATAACAATCAAAATAGATGAGAATAGCAACTATCCTTACTATTTGGCTTTTGTTATATGGTACCAACAAGGGAAAAAGGATATCACAGCTGTGCAGCTATGTGAGGTACTCTGCTCGTTCTCATACCATATGCTGAACAAAAGCCTTTTGCTATGTATTTAGAATGGATTTGCTTTTAAAATTTGGTTTCTCCTATAAAATATAGAATAAAGCAAGTACTGTAAATACTATAGTTATTAACCAGATGGTCGTAATATGTGCAGACTCAAAACTTCAGTTGCAAACTGTTAGATAGGAGTTATGGAGCAGTATGGACGACTACTTCCCCCCAAAGTGGACCATTGTCTTTACGGATGTTATTCAGTGGTGAAGATGGAGATGAGTCATGGGTTGTTCCTGTTAATAACATACCTCAAGTCTGGAAAGCTGGAGAAACATATGACACAGGAGTTCAAGTGAATGTATAGGCATCTCAGCCAGACCTGTCAATCTTTGCTATAGAAATACACTGAAAGAATAAGCTTCAAATTAGTTCTTCCATAATATTCTATTTATTAGGAAGAGGTAACATTACAAACTTTTGAAAATAGAAGTTTTTGATTGTAAGCTTTGTAATTTTTACTTTTGCAACTTTCAATCCCTAATAAAGATATGAACTTTCTCAAAGCAGATGTCTAACACTATTTACTTGACTGCAAAGAGCGCTTGTCACAGTAAAGGAAATGACCATCTACCTCCAGACATTACCTAGTTATACTTAACCTTGTATTGAATTTATTAAACATAATGTGCTGAACATTTTTCAAACACCAGCACAGCCATGACATCACTTGGATTAATAGTGTTTGGACGTGACCTAGTTGAAAATCATCAGTAAATGATAATCCACAGATAATAACAAATTTGAAAATGCAACCTAAAGGCAGCTAAATAGTATGTGAATATGAAACTAGACCTGTATTTACCAGTTGAGAGAGGCAATAGAAGAAAGCACACTCATTTCTATATACACAGAATTACAGATAAACTAGCAAAGGATTACAGCAGCATGACGTGACTCCACATAAAAAGAAGGCAGAAAGAGGGAGTCCCAACAATACAATTCCAAAATTACCAAGTAGACATTTTTGTAGATTAAGGTTCCTTACCCATTTAAATTTAAAATGTGAAGAGTAAAATGAGAGGAAGTGGTTTAACAACAGACCTTCAGGTTTAAATTATCATGACCTTATCGCAGAAATTACATTAATATTCTTACCTTAGCCCATGTATTTTCTCCAAATATATTTTCATCCAAACTTCTATTCTCCACACAAATATGCAGCTCCCTTCAGAGTGGAGATGCAGTGAGTGAAGAACCAAGCTTCATTCTCTGTCCTTTTAAAGCTCTGAAACCTCAACAAAATCTATAGAAGATGTTTTCAACTTGACATCCATCTCTTTCAACATGGAGTACATCACAGTTCTCCTACTAGCTGAAGTATTTTCTAAGAAAAATTTAGACCCTGACTCTCCAGAGTGACTATGGATGGGCCATAATGTTCTTAGCAGACCCCTTTCTTTTACCATCTTTCTGACATTTTCTAAATCATCCCACCTCTCTTCCATTGCATATACGTAAGATAACAACACGTATGGTGCAATATCTATCGGCTCCAATTCCATTAACCACTTGGCAACAACCTCTCCAAGCTCTAAAAGAGAGTGTGCTTTACATGCAGAAAGAAGCGCTCTCCATATGATGGGTCCTTCCTCATGCATTGTCTTCTTAAGCTCGTCCAAGTGTTTGACCAAGCCAACCTGACCAAGTAGATCAAACATGCAACCACAGTGCTCTACCTTGGGTTCAATCTTGTAAACCTGGCACATTAGATTGAAGCACCACCAACCCTCTAAGACTTTTCCGTCACGTGAACATGCAGATAAAACACAAACAAAAGTAGCATCATTTGGCATTGGTCCTCCTTTTGCCATATCTAAGAACAGCTCTAGAGCTTTCTCACCATAGCCATGTGTACCATATCCCATGATCATAGAATTCCAGGACACCACGTTTTTCTCAGGCATCTCATTAAACACATTTCTTGCCAGATCCATAGCCCCACACTTTCCATACATTGTTAAAAGAGCTGTTGAGAGAAGCATGTCACATTCTATCCTACTACCTTTAATATAAGAATGAATCCACTGGCCTCTATCCAGTCTCCCCAAATTTGCACATGCTGTCAAGACACTAACAAGAGAAGCATTATTTGGCCTAACCTCCCCTCCTGCTATCATCATGTCAAACAATGTCAAACAGCTGGCATAGTTCTTACATCTTGCATACAGAGCTAGCATGGTATTCCAAGAAACCACATTCCTCTTGGGCATCAGATCGAAACACTCCTGAGCCATAGATGCATTTCCAGTTCTTGCATAACCATCAACCATACAATTCCAAGAAACAACATCTCTGGATGGCATTCTATCAAACAGTTCCCATGCTGCCTCCATGTCGCCGATACCTACATACCCTGCCAGCATAGAATTCCAACTATAGATATCCCTCTCAGTCATCTCATCAAACAGCTCACGCGCAATACCGATCTCTCCATTCTTTACATAACCATCAATTATCGAATTCCAACTCACCAAATCCAATACAAACCCGCTGTCAAACACCTGGCGTGCAGCCCCCATATCCCCACAAACAGGGTACATATGAATCAAGGAGTTCTTAATAAACAAATCACTCTGGAACCCAAGTTTCAAAACCCTTGCATGAACCTTTTCCCCCTCCCTCAAAGACCCAATTTCTGCACAAACTTTCCCCAATAACGGAAATGTAAAATGGTTCTGCTCAACCAATCTAGCCACCATTTTCTCATAGTAAAAACTAAGAGCTCCAGCTGGGTCATTGAGATTCAACAATCCCTTCAAAACAGTATTACAGATAAAAGCATCGGGTTCTTTGATGCAGTCAAACATAAAGACAGCACGGGAAACCGAGTTTAAAGAAGTGCATAGTTTCTTGATTACCCTGCTCGCCACGAGAGAGTGTTCAAAGAGGCCAGAGACAATGAGTCTGGACTGAATTTGATTGAACTCTCTGAAACTGGTGCATGATTCTAGTGTACACAAAATGGGATGATTTAGATCCAGAACCGGCAATTCTTGGTACTCAAAGGCTGCTGTTTGAGGTTGTGGGTCTCCAGGCCAGAGCTTGGGTGGGGGTTTGGAGAGGTTTTTCAGTGATTTCAGGGATTTGTCAAGGGAGAGTGAGGACAAGCGTGTGGATGTTGGTCGCGGGACTCTTAGTTTAGCGGCCATTTCCTCTTAGCGTGAGGAAGGAGACAGAGCTTCCACTCAAGGAAAAAATTCTGCTGTAATATGCAAACATTCTACGTGGGCGTTTCTGCTTTTCTGTTTGAATAAAAGGGAAAATGATTCTTATATAATATTTTTTTTATAATACTACGTATCAACATGTTAAAATAATTAATTTTTTAAATTTATATAGAACTCATTATATTAAAGGTATCTAATTATTTAATAATGTGTAAAAATTATATAAAAAAATAAAATAAAATAATTATTTCTATACTACCACCCCTCAATAAAATAATTTTAAAAATTTTTTTATTTTTATCATAGGCGAGCTACATTTGTGCAGTTTTTTTTAATATTAAATAATAAATTATATAATAAAAATAATTATTTTAAAAAATTTTACCTATCTTAAAATTCAAATTTAAAATTTTTAATATAAAAATTTAATTTTTTATACCCATTAAGGGACATTTATGCAACTTATTATAAAACTTAAAATTAAACTTGAACTCCTCGTCTATGCCTCATTTATTACTTGAGTCTAGCTCCAAGTAACACAGTACATAAACCCATCATTTTGACTATTATAGGTTAAATAAGTTAGGTCAAATATGTTTATGAGTCCAAGATGACTATACATCTTGTGTTGGGTGGTTGAGTGTTACTAAAACTGGCCTTTGTGATTTTGATACTTGCATTTCGAGCAGGGTGTTAGAAAAGCTAAAAAAAAAAAAATGAAAATGAATATGTTAAGGCAAGGCTGTTGACATGAAAGCACGTCCTCAACAGCAGCAAAACTGCAAAAGTCTATAATTTTACACTTCATCGATTCATTCAAACTTGCAATATGTATGTTGAATACAATTAATAGGATAAGGCTAAAGCCTTTCTAAGTTTTAAGAAAACCAAGCAAAACTTTCTTCTTCTTCTTCTTCTTCTTTTTCCCCACCTTGGAGGGTAATTGGATTACAAAATGAATATTTTCAACACTTTAACAACACCAAATTAATTGCCAATTTCAACCTCCAGGTAGTGACCCATGTTACTCAAACAAGGACACCATTGTTCAAGTCACATATCAGAGACTGACCAAAGATAAGCTTCCTTTTGTGTAGCTTGTTTCTCGTTCGATCTCTTGAACATTTTCTTTTCAAATCCTGCAAGAAGCAGAACAGCAATAATTAATTGTTTCCAATTATAGATGTGCTTTTTCTAATATGATGGTATTTGAATCCATTTCATGCTCCTGGGCGTAATAATCTTTTCAGATGATGATGATAAAGCCAACAACAGAACACAAGAAGAACAATGTAATCAATGAACTTACCATTACTGCGATCAACTCCATCCCAATGTCTTCCTGGTCTTATACCATATCGATTTGGTGCAGCATCTAATCCTCTTTTTATCCAACTATGACTAGGAATGTCTTGAGGGATTACAAATCCTGATTCCTTCATTTTCTCACTATCCCCCAGGTCTCTAAGATCATGCTGCTCAGAATGCTTCTTCTGCAATTTGTCAAAAGAAACATGTCAAAATCAACATTTATCTATCAGTGGTTATGGCAACTGACAAAACGGTTATTTTAATTACCTTCACCAAATGTGCCATAGGATCACCCCATCTCACCCTATCCTTCAACATTTTTTCAAGTTCTGGGTCATCCCTGAAAACAAAAGGTGCATATTGATCAAAGGTTAGGAAAAACATGAGCAACTAACCATATTCTGCTAAGCAGGAAGTTAGTTTTCTTTCTCCTTTTAATTTTTTCCTTCTCCACTTTTTGGGTCTGAAACCACCATAACATGTATTTCAAATCTCTTGTTTCTTTATTATCACATAGAGCCATTTCTCATGGATTGATGAAAATGCAGTCTGGAAGAGAGAATAGAAAGACAAAAAGCAGTCTGCTTATATTCTCTTTGAAAGCGACTGCTAAAAAGATTAAGCATGAAGGGTGCCTTCATAACTCAAACAGTGATTCTAATGAAACATCATGAGCAATTATATGATTCTATCTAGTGTTCCCTGACCAGCATAACTGGTTCCAGGGGAGAACAGGTAAGGATGAATTTTGAGCTTGATTGGGGAAGTTATGCAATTTACTAATGTACCACTCAATTAAATGGCTTAACATCATGATTCAAGTAAACAAGATCTTTAGTTTCACCTGGTTCGAGAAAATGGTTTGTCCTTCTCAAATTCTAATTCTTGCAGCCTAGCTTCAGCTTCCCGCTTTTGAGCCAAACCTTTGCCCCATTCTAACTCCTTCTCCTGATAAGGAAAACAATAAATGACTATTAACTACAACAGAGTAAGAAAAAGAGAAAGCCAATTTTTAAACAGTAAAGAATAAAGATTGAGAAATAATTTTCTTAAGCACCATAACAATACCCGTCAAGAGCTAATTTTCTATTGTTCATACCTTAGGCTTCTCTTCCACTTTCTGTTGGGATTTTCGAAACTCTTCCTTTGTTATGCGTTCCCCTGCAGCATTCAAAAGTCAGATAACAAGACAGACAATAAGATTCTCTCTCTCTCTTAATGGTGAAACCTCTTTTACTCTACCTGTTATCTTGTCACGATATACTGCTTCAGCACCTCGTCCACTTACAGATGGATCCATTTCCTTGAACCTAAAAAATGAAGAAAAATTAGTAAAGCAACCTAAGGTGAACCACAGACAATAAATGTGACATGCTCAATAGCAAGTTCTAGAACAGATAATTTAATAAATTCTCAAGCTAATGCTGTGCTACCTTCTCCAATCATCCTTCTTGGTTTTAGAAATTTCTTCTCGTATTTCACTGCCAGAAATTAATCCAGTTTTTGGTCGCTCCTTTGGTTCCTTCCGGTCTTTCCTTGGTGGAGAAAGGTCAACATTTGCATTGGATGAAACGTTTTTATCAGGATGCCTATGCGTGCGTTGAGTAATATCAGGTGATCCAGGTTTCCTAGAATCCTTGATATTTCTCCTTGGAGGGGAAAGATCTAAATCAGGGGAAAAAGCTGAATCTGGTTTTTTCCTTTGAAAGTTCTCTGATGTTTGAGGACGAGATCGTCTAGGTGGAGACATATCAGGCCCAGGTGATGAAGCATTGTGGTGACTCTGCCTCTGCCGTGGAGGCGACAAATCAGAATCTTCTCTAACAGGCTTGAGAACAGGTTCTTGTGAAGGGTTGTCATTCCTAGCCCTCCGTTTTCGTGGTGGTGACAAATCAGTAGCTTCTCTAGATGCCTTTGGCTTAACTCTTGGCTCCGGAGAAGGAGTGTCATTACGAACTCTCCGTTTCCTTGGTGGTGACAAATCCATACCTTCTCTAGATGCCTTTGGCTTAACTCTTGGCTCTGGTGAAGGTGTGCCATTATGAGCCCTCTGTTTCCTTGGTGGTGACAAATCAGTATCTTTTCTAGTTGGCTTTGTATTAACTCTGAGCTCTGGTGAAGGTGTGTCATTTCTAGCCCTCTGTTTTCGTGGTGGTGACAAATCAGTATCTTCTCTGACTAGCTTTCGCCTAATACCAGGCTCTGGTGAAGGTGTATCCATACGAGACTGTCGTTTCCTTGGTGGTGACATATCAGAATTCAAGCCAGCAGAATTCTCATCTCTCAGAGTTGGCAAAATCACATCTTCTCTTGCAGAATCCACATGAATCCGTTCACGCTCGGGTGAAGGCGTGTCATTGCGTGTCCTCTGCCTATGGGGGGCAGGGGAAATATCAGAATTTGGATTGACAGAACTTGCATGCTTAGGAGACAGTGAAACCCATCCACTGCCATCCTCAGCAATAGCATTATACGCCCTCCTCATTTTTATCTGTTCCAGCCTCCTCAGTCTCTTAACTTCAATGTCTTCATCCACCACTGGCTTCTCATCTAAACATAAACGAAACCAAGATTACATACTCAAACTAGAAACGAAAAAAATGGAGCACAACAGATCAAATGGAAATAAAAACATAATGATCTTCATATATTTACCAGGAGAATCATTTTCCTCCTCTTCATCGAGATTTACAGATTTCTGCCAGATGGGATCCTCATCAACAACTAAAACACTAGTGCCTCCTAACCCTGGTTTACTCTTCTTCTTCTTCTTTTTCTTTTTCTTTTCTTCTTCTTCATCTTTAGTCTCATATCTTTTCAGATACTCCTTCAATGAAGTTGATGCTGCCATCTCCAATATTCCTAACTTCCCTAAAGCCAATTAACTACATATATCAGATACCACATCAAATTATAGATCCAAAAAGGCAAAAGATAAAGAAAATACACACGGAAAGCTTCCCCAGTGAGTGTTAACTTATATCTGGAGCATTAATACTAATTTCCTGTTAACTATTTTTGAATTCCAATTCAAAACCGAGCATTGTCTGCAAAAAGGAGAAGAATCAGAAGAAATTTCTCACCTAAAATCTGCAGAAAGTGGTTTCAAATCTGTTTGCGGCTCTATCTATAACGTATTCAAGAGATATATCTGGAAACTTCCAAAAATTAAAAATGAAAAGAACCCTAGTTCTTAATCAGGACTTAGGATTGTGAATCAGGTAGAGTAAGGAGACAATGTCTAGGACGACCGAATATAGAAGAAAAGAAAGAAAAAAGAGGGAGGAAGGATACCTGATCACCGTTCCGTCGCCACCGCCGTCGTCACCTTCACAGGCGCCGTTCCCAGCTACCACAGCAAGTGAAATTATGAAATTTTCTTCTCCGCCCGACTTTCGCAGGAACCAAACGCTGAAGGGAACCAGTCAGAAAATTCCGATCTTACATTGGATTGGGTCATAACCACTTCTTGAATGGACCTAAAGCCCATCCTCGGCCCATCAATTAATTAAATCATCTTATCACAATTCACAAATTTAATAATAAGCGAAATCTGATAATATGGGAACTAATGATTGTTTTTTTTTTTATGAGAATGTGTCTAGATGTAAAAATTTTGAAATTTATTTTTAAGCGTTACTCTTCCTATCCCCAACCATTTTCTTAAGTCAAAATAATAATAATAATAATAATAATAATAATGGGTAAAAAAATAAAAATG